CGGATCACCTGCCTCTTCCTCTTGACTGTGGGGAAAGCACATTTTGTGTATTTTACGTAGTTTTACTATATCTTTCTTTATGAGCATGTAATTCAGGGATTCCCAAACTTTTTGTCAGCCAAACCCCTTTGCCAAACCCAAAAATCAGAAACATTTGCTTATATCTGCCCCTGAGATTTTAATTTGAGGCATGTGATTTTTGCTAAACATTTTTGTTGTTGTTGTTAAATTATATACATTTCTTTTTTTTTTAGTTAATTAGACATGCTTTTTGATTACCAAAATTTTATTTAACCATTAAAATGTAATTTGGAAAAATTTGAATGGAGATAGAATAAAATAAAGTAAAATTGGAATAAAATATAATGGAATTTTTGAAAAAAAAAAATCTAACTGATTTCATAGGGCCCTACAACACCTCAACAATCCTGTGCAAACTGTAGTTTCTGAAACACTGATATAGATGATAAATTATCAAAGTCACATTTTCCTATTCAGTTTTTGTCAACAAATGATGTACACAAGAGTTCAGGTCAGACCTACCAGTGTTGCAGTAGAAGTAATACATATTTGTGCAATATCTGTCATCAAATACACGATAATAATTATCTGCACCAACACAGTCTTCATTCCACTTAGTAAATGTCTGAGTAGTGAGTTTGGTTGAGGAAGTGATATTGGTCTGATCTGACCACTTCCAAGTGTCTCTGTACAATCCGATCCAGACTGGAACCATCCAGACATTTAGCAGCTTGGTAATCTGGTCATTGTCTTCTTGACTCCTAATGGTAGCCAGGTCTGTATAATGACGTCTGCAGTACTTCTGAGCATCAGTCCATGTATTTTGGGTCTTGCTCAAAACCATTTTCTCTGTTCCATTTGTACTTCCTGTGAAAATTAAAAAATAGAGTCAAGACATTAAAGCCAAATTAATTTTGTGTGAGCCTGTTAAACCTGATTGAAGAGGAAAGTTTTAAAACATACTTGAATAATCTTTGATTTACAACTTTAAAAATATATTTTTTACAGCGCAGATTTGAAATGACATGAGAGTCAGTCATTTTCATTGAATTATTCGGTGAACTATCCCTTTAATTCTTTATTCTGAGAATCATTCCTTTCAGCATTTTCTGTACCTAAATAAAGCAATTTTTGTGTACTGAATGCTTGTGAAATTTATAATTGAAGTTATAGTTTAAGTTTATGACAGGGTTATTATAGTTAACTAAAACTAAATAAGAAAAATCATTACTTGAAATAAAATGTTAACTGAAATAAAATATAAAAAACTTTAATTTATTTTACTCCATCTAATTTTCAAGGCAACATTACTCATTTTCATTTAGTTTATCTTGAAGTACTAAAACTACAGAGCCCCTAAAGGGACCTTTGCAAAAATAAAAAA